AGAGTCGTGAACATTGAACTGGAGTATATGCTGCTTCCTAGTAAAGAGACATACATGATACAAAGCAACCATCAATGCACTTTCAGTGCTGCCGTGATGACCTGACGGGTTTCCTTAAGAGCGTGTGTATGTGCGTGCAAGGGCTCGGTTGTTTGGACCGTCTCCAATGCTTGGATCGGTTTCTCAGGTTACAGCTTGAGTTTCGGCTGGCCCAACCTGACACCACCCTTCCGCAAAGCTGTGGAACCGCCGATGGTGATGCAAATTAAAAGCTTGCCTGCACATGTTCTAAGACTAAGATGCCGCCTGCACACAACACGATTCGGACATCTTCTCTAGAGTCGGCTGTTCGACGTGCGCGACGATTGTTCCAACTGTGCTGACAGCCTGGGAACAGATCCTCAGCCCTGTTTCCCGCACCTTCCAGGGGTTGTCATGAGGGCCCTTCTCTCGGTAGCGACTTTTACACGAACACGTGACATGAGCAAGACTCACTCGCCCAAGCTTCCTCGGCTTTTGGCTAAAGCTGCGCCAGATCATCTTATGTGAGTGCAGGGGTCATGGGTGTCTTTGGAACACCAGGGCAGGCAGCACAGCGCCGAAGCATTCTGACGGCCACGGGTTGTGCCAGAAACCTTCAGACTGCACCCTCAAAGCATCCCTGGCGTCGCGGAAGCCAATACTTAATACCGCAGTGCGTGGCCGAGCCCTCCAGAGACTCTGCAGCTGGGTGCTCAGGATCAGGGAGGGGAGTAATATCTAAAGGGAATACCCCGGCAAAGGCTACACTCTTGGGGGCCACTGTGCGGATCGCTTTCTGCGTCTAATTCTTGAGGCGGTTCGAACGGTATCGACTACAGTGGGCAGTGTAATATAGGGGGCTTAATAATTGCCTACACTATTTTGGGTATAAGGGGCCCCAAAACCCTATTCTAATTATTGAGGCCCCTATATTACAGTGGGCAGTGTACCACCTGAAGATAAAACGTATCTTCAAGTCTCGGACAGCAGTAAATACAGGACTAAGGCATGAAGCTTAAACTCTAAGACGGCCACAGCGACTGGCTCAGGGTGTTGAATCGCTTCAAGCTTTCCGTTCTTGCCTTCAGAGATTCCGGGCGAGATGCTGCAAGTCCGGATGATATCTGGCGAGAACATGGGCATACCTGCCCACGAAGTACACGATGTGGGGAGTTTGAAGCGACATTTGAATCTGCTCCGTGGGTTTCCGCTTGGCTTTAGGCAGAGGTTCCTCCGAGATGGAGAGATTTTGGAAGATGCTGTCAAGCTGGATTCACCGATGGACCTGGATCTCGTTCTACTGCAATTCGTCGAAGTTTCGAAAGAGCAGGTGGACGAGTTAGTATATGCCGCGACACATGGCGATATAGCCACAATTGAGTCCAATCTGCGGCTGCCCCAAGACCCAGATTCGCGTACAGCAAATGACATCACGGCCTTGATGATGGCATCTAACGAAGGGCATGCCGAAATCGTCAGCTTGCTGCTGATGGCCGGTGCCGACACAAACCTTGTAGAAATCACTGGCTGCACAGCTTTGATAGCAGCATCGAATGCAGGGCATGTCGAAGTTGTGCGCTTGCTGCTTGATGCCGGCGCGAAGAAGGATGTGGTAGACAAGAGTGGCATGACGGCCTTTATGATGGCATGTAATGAAGGTCATGCCGCTGTCGCGAGCTTGCTTCTGGATGCCGGAGCAAACAGCAATATGGCAACCCCCACGGGCAACACCGCTCTGATGCGCGCATGCTTTCGAGGTGATGTTGACATCGTGAATTTGCTGCTGGAGGACGGGGTCGACAAGGATGCAAAAGACACCACCGGCTGCACAGCTTTGATGATCGCAGCTTATGGCGGACACATCGAAGTGGTGAGCTTGCTGCTGAAAGCCGGCGCCAACAAGGATCTCGCAAGCTACAACGGCTCCACAGCCTTGATGAAAGCATCGAGTGCATGTCATTCCGAAGTCGTGAGCTTGCTGCAGGACAGCACGTCCGAGACAACAACTGAACCTTCCTATTTCTGAACTTCCGTAGCGTGACGCAGAAGAGAACTTTAGCTGAAGCCTCCATGCCAACTGCCACGCTTTGGCGGAAAAGGCTTTGGGTGACTCAGACCTGTTGTCGCAGGCTGGTCATTTGGAGTTCAACAACGGGGTCTGTTTCGTGAGCTTAGCTTGGAAGCCTCACTTGCCAACAGCTCAGTTCACCTTCTCATTTCGTTAACTGGCAATAGAACTGAAGCGTAGCCTTGCTGATACCATGCTTACCATGTCACTCAAGGATTGAACCTTTTGAACCCCTCCACCCCCCGATCGTCAGAGAGTTAGAAGACCCCAATGCCTTGAAGCTGGAGAAGCCCTCAGCCCCCGAAGGGAATGGTTCAGGGATGAAGAGCAAGCAAAAGCGGTTGAAAGTCTCTACTCGAAGAAGCTCCCCCAAAGGCAATGGCCCAGCCATTTGGAGGCTATGGCGGCTCCTGCTATGGCAACGCCATGCGTGGGACTGAGAACTGAAGGATTGGAACAGGGTTGGACGGCGTCTCTGCGTTCCAGAAAGCAAGGAACCCGAACGTAGACCCTACTCCCAAATGAGGGGTACTTCTTCAAGTCCCCTAAACCCTATAAACCCTATTAAATAAGGCACTTTTCAAGTCTTCAGCCTCAAGTTAATTTTTCAAGAAATCCTAGGACCCAGAGTAGGCCCTTATTCCCTTTTTTATGGTTTAGGTTACCTTATAACCCCCTTTAACCAAAAAAGGGCACCCTTTTTATTCCTAGGTTACTCTTAGGTCTAGAATCCCATACGATTCTGTGCCAGCCGACTGATCGCTAGGATTCCAAAGCTCCTGATGCACAGCTGCAGTAGTAATGGGACCAATGCTAGTACCCAGCGAGCCCAATACCCCGCATTTAAGGAATATAACTTAAATCAATGCTATATACCTTAATCAACGGGTATTGAATTTATTGGGTTCTCTGGGAATGCTAGTACTAATACTACTGACTACCGTAGAAATACGAATACTCAGAATACTAATAATGATGCCGATGGCAGTTACCTCCCCGAAGCGACTCTGGTATACAAAGTTACTATAAGTTTACAAGAATGATCAAGCGAAGGAACCCCAGGTGCGAGAGCCCATCGTTTGAAAGAGGAAAGACGAGAAATCCTCTTCTAAAGCTTCCCAGAGTGCCCAATACCCCCTTAACTAACAATCTAAGGGTATATTCCTTAGTTGGGGCTTCATCTGGTTCATATGGTTTAAGAATTATACTCCTCAATTTAGGGACATTGGGCTCTCTGGCTTCATGGGACTTCATAAGTTAGCGACAGCGTCGTCTCCAGACGTCAGCAGGATGGATCCTCAGAGTTGGAACGTGTCCCACTGAACCCTCGGCGCACGGAGAAGCCTTCAAAACCGAAATCCCCCTCCCAGAGAGCTCAACCCCCCACCCCCAATTAGGGAATATAGCTTAAATCAGATTAAGCCCCTAATGGTTTAAGGTATATACCCTAATTACGGCGTAGTGGGCTCTCTGGGCTTCTATGAACCAGAGGATCCTAAACCCAAACTCTAGAAGATACCCCTGCAACCCGAAACCCCTCAAAATCCCACGGACGGGGTTCCCACATACCCGATACAAATCCACAATCCCATGGTTCGGGTTCCCTCACACCCTAATGTAGGAACCTGATTAAGAAACCTTGGGCCTTTATTAAGGGCTCCTTGTATGAATCCTACTATTTTGGGGTTATAGGCCCAGGGTTTCTTAATGAGGTTGCTACATCCCGGACCCCCGGGAGGATCCAAAAAGTAGATCATTTAATGGGGGTTCCTCTAAAGTAACCTTAGTAGTATAGGGCCCCAGATCAGGGGATCTACTTTCTAGACCCTAAACCCTAAACCCCTAAACCCCTAAAACCCTAAACCCCTAAAACCCTCCCGGGGGTCTGGGATTATGTTAACCCCCTGAAGCAGTGATTTCGAGGCCCGGGCCTGCGCCGCAGGTGGCGGCTGGGCTTTGGGGCTTTCCTGGTATACTCTTTATAGGAGTTTCCGAAAATAAGGGGTACCTTAGGAGGTATTACAGGGCTCCTTTAAAGGGCTCCAAAAGGGTTTTGGAGTTTCCGAGACTATGGGGTACCTTATTTTGGTGTCCTGATAATAAGGATCCTACTATTTAGGCTACTATATTAGGGTCCCCCATGTTCGGAAACTCCCATTTTTTGGGGCCCTTTATAATTAGAGTAGGGCTCCTAAAAAGGATTCCTTGAAGGGATACTAGAAGGGTTCTGCAAGGGTACTATAATGCAGGGGCATACATACTTTTAATTACCAGTACTATTCTGCGGGTTGCTTAATTATTTATAGTTTAATGGACACCAGAACCCTATTCTAAAAATTACGGCCCCTAGGTCAATTTGGCACACTTTGTACTTCCCTCATCGGTTTTAGACAGAGCCCTGGTTATAACTAAGTTTGGAGACTGTTGAAATCGACACCGAGTATAGGGGTTGTGCTAGGGGCATTTTAGGCTGGAGCTTCAGAGAGAGAGGAAGGCCTCGAAATAATTAGTACTCCTATGTCTTGTGTGATAGTCCTTTCGTAGCTATGCCATAGCATACCTGTGCCTCAAGGCTTTGCGAAATTGGTTCTAAGGGTGTAGGTCTGCGACGCTCCTGACCTGCGCCAGCTCAATGCAAAGTCAACGGGGGTCTCGATTCTGTAGCAAGAGAAGCAGATCCCCAAAACCCTATAATAGGGGCCCAACTTATCAGGAGAAGGTTTGGGTGAAGATTACTGTAAGACAAGAAGTATATAGGGACTACGAGAGGGATCAACTACTAATTGTCAAGCCGCGTCCAGGTGTGAGGGCAAGCCTGAAGCCTGAGGTGGGGCCGATGAAAAGGCTGTGCACCCCCATCGCTCTGATGTCGAAAATGATGATTGTGCTGTAATCATCTCAACAGTCCATTATGCTCGCTCCACCAGAAAAGTGCTTCGATGCCTATTACACGGCACTGAAGTGCTGCAATGCTGCCGATTCCTTTTGGACGCAGCTCTGCTGGCAGGGTCAGTGGCAGAGCGTGAACTGCTGTAACAGCTGGGCACTGCAAGCTCGGGATCATCTGCAGAAGAAGCTGAGGCAAGCCAAGTTGTCCAAGGGCCCTGTCGCAAGCGCTTTCGACTTGTCCGAATTTTCCATCATGGGGATGTCGGACACAGCGACGACATGGGTGGTGACGGATGCAGATCTGCTGGCACGAGAGTCGTTTCAGCTGGGACATCGACAGCTTCCGGATCGGTGTTCTCATGAAGCATTGCGTGAAGACGAAGAGTCAGCAGCGATTCACCTGTGGGATATGCTTGGCCACCGACGCACAGGACGCCTCCTGAATATCGGTGCGGGTAGCTGGCGCGATCCTCTCTGGGCGATTGCACTGCACAGGAATGTCACGGGCCTGTTCGTTGACCCGGTGGGCCCGCCCAAAGATATGCCGCCGCTGAAAGGCATACGCTTTGTCAGTGAGTTTGTCCGACCCCACAACATGCCCAGGTTGCTACGTAGTGCGGGGTTCAGAAGCAGGCCAGGCTTTCCTGTACCTATCGACTTCATGAAGGTGGATGTCGACTCCTGTGATTGTGTCCTCGCATCCATCGGATTGCAGTTCGTTCGCCCAAGCATCATTATCATGGAGATAAACTGGAGCTTGCCTCCACCGCTGAGGTTTGTTCGGCAATGTCATGACGACTGGAGTCGCATGTGGCAGTATTGGATGCGTGTTGGGTTCTCACTCTCGACACACGGCTGCTCGCTGTCGGGTGCCCTCGCTGAATTAACGAAATTTGGGTATTCCTTATTCCGCGTGGCCGGCCACGTCAACGCCTTCTTCGTCCATCGCGATGTTGCCGCTTCGCTGGGCGGGGCTGAGGTCGACGAGGTTTCCTGCTTCAACCAAGCATGGCAGGAGAGCTCCGTCACCCGCTATGTGCACTGGAGACTCATCCACGACTGGCGTACCGGCTCTGTAGTCGATGCGTTGAACCACGTCTGGGGCAATTTTACTTCCTACGATTCCATCTTCAACATCTCCCATATACCTTTTGCATTGGCTGTATGAGATCTCTGTAGAAAGATCCAAGAATCGGTCTGTGCAAAAAGAAGTCTCTCAGCGACTTACTCTAATCCCGAATTTATGAAGAAGCCGAGACACACACGCGAGAGCTAGATCTACGACAACACACACACACAGAGACAGGACTGAAGGCCAAACCCTCTTCGCTAAACCTCCAACCCATATGCCTCACCTGGATTGTCCGAGTGTGAGCGCCCCTAAACCAATGTGGACTTTCCACCCCTGCGCAAGAAGCTCCATGAACCCAAAACCCAATCAAAAGCCCTGCTTCCATTGCAGGGTATGCCTGGGGCCCCGGGCGGCGGCCCTCCAATGCAGGCATCTGCCGAGATGCCGACCAGCCTGTCGGTTCCTCTACATGGGAGTTTCCGAAAATTAGGGGACCTTATTTTGGGGTCCTTATAGTAAGGATCCTACTATTTAGGGTACTAGGGTCCCTTGTTTTCGGAAACTACCACCTCTGCTTGGAGATGGATGGTATGCTAAGGTATACTATACTCTTGTATACCGTAGTGTAGTATAGTGTGTTACAGTTACAGTATATTCTAGCACAGTATATGGTACTATACTGTCTCATTCTCTACTGCTGTTGCTTGCTACGGTGATTATTACAAGCCGCACGGCTTCCCGCAATCGGCTCAGGGGTTTGGTAGGAAGGGATCCAAAAGCCCTCACCACCCCAAATCCTAAACAGCCCTAAATTCTAGACCTTCAAATCCTTCCAAGCCCCAAACTCGGAAACACTCAACTCCCAGACCCCAGCACCTAAACGCTAAAGCTTTGGCTAACTCCGAGTTGCGAGAGCGTAAATCCTAAACCCTGGAACACTAAACCCAGAGACCCGATCGTTTTGAAGCTTGGAAGCTTGAGCTTTCAAACGGTAAACTAGGTAGGGCTTTGGGACAATTCATATTGGCGCCTGTTGGGCTTAAGAGGATCTTACCTACTAATATTTTCAAAGCGGCTTTTACAGAAGAAAGCACTTCGTATAACCAAGCTGCGGAGTTCTTGAGGGATCAAGACCTGCAGGGCTTTCCTGGCTTCCCACCGCCGATGCAGGCGGCTCATGTATTCGGAGTGGGTGTGGAGGCGTTTTCATGGGTTTTTTTCTAATCAAGGTGGTTTGGGGTTGACGATGCACCAGACCCTAAACTCCTAACCCCGCTTAAGCCTAAAGCCAGACACTAAACTCCTAAACCCCCCAAGACACTAAACTCCTAAACCGCCCTTAAACCCAAACCCCTTAAACCCCTAACCCCCCCTTAAACCCTGAACCCTCGTGTAGTGGCCGGGGGTAACCAGGAGCAGCTGAGCTGGTTCAGGAAACCGCACTCCGACCCCGAACTGTCCCCGATGTGGGGTTCAAAGCTTCGGGCTCGGTGGCGGATATTAGGTTTAGGGGTTTGGGCTTTCCGGGTTTAGGGGTTCAGGGCTTTCAGGGTTTAGGGCTTTAGGGGTTTAGGGCTTTGGGGGTTTAGCGCTTTAGGGTTCAGGGGTTTAAGGTTTTGAGCTCAATAGCTTCTTGGCATCGACTCGCCCCAAAAGCAAAAGTCAGGGCGTCATCAAAAGAAACAGAGGCACTCGCAAGGAATCTCGACATGTCCAGGTTGCGTAGGCTTGATGCAATGAATGGCCTGATCCTCAATGACATGAAAGCCAGACCTCCTCGCCCCCCTCCAATCCATCCTAAACCCCCAGACCGCGAAGTTGTAAGAAAACTTGAAATCCCAATCATAATCCCGAACATACAAGCCGCTTGTTCGTAGTCTGTTGCCAGTGTATCAGCACACTGTACTTCCAGAAATCCTGGTTCGCTTGCTTAGACCCCATTCTGAACCAAGCCAAAAAGCAGTTCGCGCAGGGCATGCCCGGTGGAGGATGCCCACCCCACATGCAGGAGCCGACCCGGGGGACGTGGTTGGAAATTCTTGCCACAGGGGATATTGGTTCAGAGTTGAGAGCCAATGAGGCCACTACGACTTGTTAGAGAGGGGCCTAAACGCTAAACCCTACTCCCAACTCCAGAGTAGGCATGTGCTGTTTGCTAGCCACTGCACACCACAAGAGTCTAAGAGAGGTGTTTAAGTTTCTTAGTACCAACGGTTCGTTGAGTTCCCTAGCAACCTTTTGCCTCTTTTTTTATTTGGAGCAGGCCGCAAATCAGCAGTTCTCATCGAGCATGTGTACGGAATGTAAGACTTGCTTTGCAGAGCTACCTCGGATGCGAAGTTCACTCGTTTCGTAGAGACATCCACAGCTCTGCCTCTAATGGTTTCAGGTATATTCCTTAATTAAGGGGTATTGGGCTCTCTGTGAAATACCTCAACAAAAAGAGATCCAGGGATGATCGTGCGCACTTGGAGGTTTATGGGTAGTTATAAGTAGGGTTAGAAGGGTAACGATACTTATAACCCATATTGGGGGACTTATAACCCTACTTAGAACTACCCATGAAGCTCCAAGTATCGTGCGCAGGGGCCAGTAAAAGCAGCATCGCCTTGTAGCCAAGAGGCGGGCTGCGCCGGCGGCTGCGCTGGCGGCTGCCCCCCTCCACCCCTGCAGACCCAGGCTTTCGGGTTTCCTGGCCGGGCGAGCTCCAATCAAGCCCCTAAACCTTGAACCTGTGTGAAGTTGGGGGTGAAAGTTTGAGGCAATAGTTTCGAGTCCTTTTCTTAGGGTTCAGAAAAGTATCGAACCTCTAGCACCAAAACCTGACAAAGCACAGGCACCCAGAAGATGTCTGTTGGCTTTGGGTTTAGGGTTTGTCCGGAACAGAGGCTGTTTAGTCAAGATGTTGGACCTTTTGCTGGCGTGGTGCTTACTGCAATTCGAGAGTAACGACTTCTGGGACCTTGAGCCTTTGGGTTCCTTACAACCCCCCTTGGGCCTAAAGCAAGCCTGCACCTGCAAGTTAATACCTTATTCCTTCTGGCTTGAAGTCTTTGGACCGTGACCAGGGTATGCCGGGGGGCCGCCCTCCACCAATGCAGGCTGTCTTCTACGGGATCGTTATAACAAGGATCTTACGGGCTAGGGAATTTAGGATCGATGTTGAGGTCCTTCATTTTCTGGGTGTGTAATGCCATGGACTTGCCGGACCGGGTGCCAGACTTTCGTTGCCTTCGAGCCAGAGTTGTTGTGATGCGACGCAGCCTTCGATGTCGCACCGTGCCAGCCTGCCAAATGCCGAGGTGAGTCAGACAGAGGGACATACAGAGCACAGGGCTCGCAGTGCGGCTGATGCGAAGACGAGCACGGAGACTACAAGACCATAAGTCTGTAGGACCAGCAGAATTTCCGTGTCAACAGAGCTTCCAACTAATCTCGCTGCTGCCAGGGCATGCCTGGGGCCTCGCCATGCGGGCCGCCATGCGGGTCGCCCGGGCCCGGGGCATGGCAGGCAAGAAGCATCAACATGTGGGTGGTTGTCAAAATGATGGTCCCTTTCTAGGTCCCTATTTTCATACGGCACCTAGTATATAGGGTGCCCAAAAAGGGACCAGAATTTTGACAACCACCCATGTCGGGGTTTCCATTGCCACCTGGGCTTGACTGTAACCGTGGCCGGTGGACTTGAACACTTACATACATCCCAAGAGACTGCAGCTGTCACATAGAAACGAAGTGCTGCTGGAATCGATGACATAAGGACAACCCAGAGCTGCCTGCTTCGTGACCATGCGCACACCAGTGCTGCCAGGGTATGCCGGGGCCGTCGCCAGGGCCGTGCGGACCTTCTGGGCCAGCGGCGTGGCAGGCGAACATTCTGCGCACTGCCCGGCGTGAATCCACATACATCGAACCAACACCCCCAGAAGCTTCTGATGCAGGTGCTATATGCCAATCAATCAGCTGCGAAGCTCGAAACTGCAAGAGAGAAACCTAAGATCCCGAAGCTGCAAACCCTGAGCCTAAACGTATAGCAAAGCCACGCACCAGAACGCTAAAACCCCAGACAACCCAAACACCCAAAATCCCCCGAGCTCCAGATTAGTAGCTCCTTCACCCCCTTTGGCCTAGGCCCTCAAGCTCTTAACCCTCGAACCGAAGCTATGAAATCTTAGCTCTTTCAACTGTTCAACCAAGACTCCCTGCAATGCGGGCCTCGTCCTTGCTAGGTAGGAGGAAAAATGCCTTCTGGGGTTCAGGAGCCGAGGGGCCGCCTCAATGACATGGGAGTTTCCGATACTTAGGGGTACCTTATTTTAGGGTCCTCATAATAAGGATCCTACTATTCAGGGTACTATATTAGGGTCCCCTATTTTCGGAAACTCCCACATAGAAGCCTGAAGAATTACAGGTTTCACATTTGGGGCTACTGTAAGGGATCTATAAGGTTTCCATAGGGGCCGTGGGTTTAGGGTCGGAAGAATTACCAGTACGCTTTGCTAGAGTTGTTTGTCAGTAGTTCTATCAAGAGTATACGTCATAACCCGTTCTACTTACTAAGGTACCTGTATTTGCTGGCATAGAACAGTTTTGCGGTGCAGTACTACCTGGGATATTGTTATTGATTATCAAGGCCCCTCTATTGATGGAAGAGGATAAGGGTTTATGGGCAGTGATGGTCAGGATGTACAGGGGTCTTGTGTATGGTTTCAGAACCGGTTTAGGGTTTGGGCGGGCGTATCGTAAGCCTGCTTCTTCTAAGCATTTTCAGCACCTGAACAGCAGGATCACTGTTATTAGCCCCGTTGAAGCAGTGCCTTGTCAAAGTTTTACAGATTACTAACACTATTACTATTACTATTAATATTACTATTTGTACTATTATTAATTATCATATTATTATGTGTACTAACAGCACTGCAAGACTCATCCGCCAGACTTCCGGCTCTTAGAGTTTGTTACGTATGTGTTTGGGCTGGGGTTGCTTTGGAACTGTGGTTCTCTTGCCGATTCTGGCAGCACTTTTCTGCAGTAGGCATAGAAGCTAGAAGTTTTGTGGATCTACAACCGCCTGCCGTGTGTTTGTTTGTTTGCGT